TCGGCCCCGGGGATGGGTCCGGGCAGCCCGGAGCGAGCAGAACCAGGAGAACCACCAGCAGAACCATCCCGGCTGCCGAAGGGTGCCCAAAATCCCTGCTCCTGCCCGAAATTTCTCACCTCGCAGGTGAGAAAAGCGAAAATCCCCCCGGCGCTGGGGAAAATGATGTTTTCTTCCACGTGCAGAGCATCTCTGTGATGCCGGGCTGAGAAACCCGAGCTCTGGGCTCCGACACGGGAGCTCTGTCCCGGCGCTGTGTTTGGGGTGATTTATTGCAAACTGCCTCTCAAAACGTGAGTGAGGAGCGATGTTGCTGATGGGGTGAGGATGTTGTGCTCGGGGGGTTCAGAGCGGCCAAAAATTCCCCGTTCTGGGCTGGGCGGACAGCGCTGCCCGCGGCTCCATCGGCGTTTAATGAGGATTCACAGCCGGGGGAGCCGGGCTGAGTCACTGCCCTGAGCCCTGCGCAGCTCCAGCTGCTGGAAAAACAGAATTAATGAGTTAGAAACTTCAGCCCCTTCGCTATACGTGTGTCAGCGCGGCGTGTTTGGGGCTTTACAGCTGCGCTGAGAGTCCTACAAGGAGAGGAGATATCTTTGGGTTGCTGGGACCTCCTAAAATATGTGATATTTTTGAGTCACAGATAGCAGCTCTGTCAAGCCAAGCACCTTCTTAGCCATGCTGGGCCACAAGGGGTGACACAATCCCAGGGGTCAGGATCGTTGTTCTCCCATTCAGGCACTTCCTAAATAAAATCCCTTTTAATTTTTTCCCCCTTTTCCAGTCGGCACGAGCTGCTTTGCAAACCTGAGCATTCCCGAGCTGCAGGAAGCTGCATGCCCAGGAAAGGCTGTGATTGCCAAACTGCTGCAGGAATGAAACAGAAAGAGAAAAGTGGGATTTTCTTTAGGTGATCCTTCAGGGAGATATCGAGGCCGCTGCTTTAAAGTGCTGAGGAACGCCCCCGAGTGAATTTATGGGAGGAAATAAATAAGGAAGGTGGAGGAAATAAATAAGAAAGGTGAAGGAAAGGCTATTTTGGACCTTCACTCCCTGAATGCCGTGCCTTTGTGCCTTGCTGCTGGTTATCGCTGGCACAGGGGGAGTTATTTCTCTGCCAAGATGAATTAAAGGTGTTTCACTTTGTAACCTGGAGAAATGCAGAGAATTCCAGGTGGGAAGGGGGTTCCTGGTGCTAAAGGAGGTGTCAGGGTGTGAAGGGGACCTGCTTGGGCCCGGGCAGGAGCTCCCTGAAGTGATTTTCTCTTTAACCAAATCTATATTTTCTAATAGCTTTTCATAACTTCATAATTGCAGGCAGCGTATTTATTTACATCAGCCGTGGCTGTAATTACAGAGAATGCAAATGTGCAATTATTTAATTAGGATCCATAATGAGGCTGTGGGAGGGAGCTTGGAGGCAGATGTTCTTGGTGAGGGGGTGGCACCTCGGGACTGGCACACGTCCGGGCTCCTGCCCACTGGGCACTGCCAGATTTCCCCTCTGCTGCACCCGGGGCCGCTCAGAGCCTGAGGAAGCGCTGAGAACCCCGGGGCTGGGGGGTTTCTGCTGGGTTTTGGCTCTAAAAAGGGAAGGGCTGGGCAGAGCAGTGCACACGGTGATGCTGCAGGAGCCGCCAGCCGCGGTGACATCAGCTGTGACTTCATGCGGGCTGCCGGGGAGGGCGAGGGGCCCCGAGTGTCACAGCCCGGGCACCTGTCTGGGCTGGCTCTGGTGACCTCCCCGCGGTTAAAAGCTCTGGTTTCAATGCAGGCAGTGAGGTACAACAAGGCAGAAATGCCACCCAGCCTCCTGACAAAGCTTTTCCTCTTCCGTTCCTGGGATTTGGGTCCTCAGCAGCTTGCAAGGGCAAAGGTTCAGCTGTCAAGTGGCAAATAAACTGTTTGGAAATGGGAGGGAAAAGAGCATAAATTAATTTCTCTCAAACAATTATTCTTCCTCTTTGACTCATCTCCGAGAATAAATCCCTCGGGATATCTTTGTGCTGGTACAGAGAATGAAAACATTTCATCCCTGACATCCCTAAATTCTCTCTTTATTGGCTGATGGATGAGAACCCAGGGCCCAGCCCTCTCCTGGCTGCCCGTGCTCTGCAGAAACACAACGGAGGGGCACCAGATCCCTGCCCCTCACCTGTGCCAGGCGGGAGGTGACAGTGCCCTGCTCAGGGCGAGCACTGGGGTGTCCCCATCGTGTCACCGGGCTCAGGAGGGGAGCAGCGTGCCCATTCCCTGCCTCTGGGGAGGCTGGCACCATCCCTGCAGGGAATTGCCTGGAAATTGTCTGTGCTTCACGCCGTGCCAGCTGCTTTTTAAACAGATTATCGTACCCGGTTAGAGCAGTGCCTGCCTTCAGCTCCTTCCAGGCAGAAACCAGTTTTCCTGAAATTGCCTTCTCAGCTCCGTGATCATTACCCGGCAAATTGCCTCGGGAGGGAGGCTGGAGCAGGGCAGGGGGTGAGGGCTGCTCTGCAGTGGGAGATGAGCAGAAAATCCACCAGGAGCTGTGCCCGGAGCTGTGCCTGTCCTGGCACTCACACCCCACACCAAGGATGTTCCTGGCTCTGTCCAGGGCTTTAAACTCCATTCCTTCACATCAGCCTGAGGAGGGGAGGCATGGGAGGCTGTTTCAGAGCTTATTATTAATTCCTCTTTATCATTATTTTTTTTCTTTTTAATTTTATTTTCTTTATTTTGACCTGGGAAAACGCACTCCAGGATTTTTTCCTCCACCGTGAGTCCTGGCCCAGCAGCAGCCCCGGGCTGGGAGGAGCAGCCTGGTGAGTCCCTGTGTGCCCAGAAAAGCTGTCAAAGGATGCTCGGGCTGGATTCTGTGCCTGGGCTCTTCCTTCCTTTCCCACCGGTGCTCCAGCACCATCTACAGTCCTGCCGGGATGCTCCAGAGGCACAGGAAGGGGTCAGAGCTGAGCCAGGTGATCTGGGGAATATTTGCAGCTTTTCTGGCCTGAACTCTAAGTGAGACAGAGAGCTTGGAGAAAAACAATCCAAACCAAGCCCAAAGCCCCCCGTTTTCCCAGCAGCTGCCCAGCACAGGGTGGGTTTGTGCCACAAGACAGCTGGTGCTGCTCAGAGGGAGAACAAAACTCCCCTGAACCTGCAGGACAGGTCATGAAACATTCATGGGAGTTCCTTTGGTTAAACAGCATTAAAAATTCATTGGTGCTTCACTGGAGCCCCAAGCCAGCAGCTGCGGCTGTCAGGGATGGAGAAATAGGGGAAAAAAGCCTTTATTCCATGGGACAGCTCTTCCAGTCTGCTCAGCTGCTCTTGGTTTGGGGGGCTGTGGCAGAGGAGGATGAGGGGCTGCAGCAGCCCGAGGGATTTCTGTTCCACCAGAACAGAAAATCATCCTGTGCCCCAGCACGGCCACGGGCTGGAAACTCCTCTTTCAGCAGCAAGACATTTCCTGGAGAGGCAGGAGCCAGCTGGGAGCTGCTGCCTGGCCCCCGCTGCTCCCGGGGGGCTCCAGGCAGGCACAGCCAGCTCCTGGGGAGCTGAGGGGATCCTGGGGCACCCAGCAGCCCTCGCCTTCCTTCACCTGCGCCTGGCTGCAGTGTGGGGGTGTTACAAAGCACATGGAGTTTTGTTTTTATTTTTTTTTTTCCTGGGTTTTTCCTTGTTTAGGAAGTTTTGATCCCCAAAGGAGTCTGAGCTGGCAGGAGCTGCAGCCCCTCAGCTGCTCCTGGGGCTCCTCGTGTGGCAGGAACGGGAGGGGAAGGGGGCAGCAGGTGGGAGATGGCTCTGGGGGCTGAGCAGCCCCTCAGCTGCTGCTCTGGGCCCGGGGGGGACAGGAGCATCCCCTGGGACACCTGGGGCTGGAGGGGGCTGAGGGGGCCCTGCAGGGCCCTGGCAGCAGGAGGAGGGGGTCTGGGGACAGGCAGAGCCTGCGGCGCATGCACGGCAACCTGAGCTGAGCTGGCTGCTGCTCCTGCCGTGCTGAGCCCACAGCCCGGCCCTGCCCGGCCCTGCCCGGGCTCCGCTCTGCCTTCAGAGATCAGCCCCGGGCTGCTCCGGCCCTGCCCGGGCTGCTTCGGCTCTGCTCTGCCCCTCAGAGATCAGCCCCGGCCTGCCCGGGCTGCCCTGGCTCCGCTCTGCCATCACCGCTCAGCCCCGGGCTGCTCCGGCTCCGCTCTGCCCTCACCCGGCCTGCCCGGGCTGCTCCGGCTCCGCTCTGCCCTCACAGCTCATCCTGAGGGTGCCAGCACAGCCCCGGCATGGCCGAGCCCAGGACCGGGACACAGCCCTGCCCCTGAGGGTGCCGACCCTGCCCGGAGCTGCTGCGGCTCTCTCTGCCCCTCAGAGCTCAGCCCCGGGCTGCTCCGGCTCCGCTCTGCCCCAGAGCTCAGCACAGCCCCGGCATGGCCGAGCCCAGGAGCGGGACACAGCCCTGCCCGGAGCACGGTGGGTGAGCTGCTGCTGGCCTTTGGGAACAGGGGGGCTCTGGGTGCTGGGCTTGGGGCTCTGGGTCCTGAGATCTGGGCTCTGGGTGCTGGATTCTGGATTCTGGACTCTGGGTGATGGATTCTGGGATCTGGTCTCTGGGTGCTGGGTGTTGGATTCTGGGCGCTGGGTGTTGGATTCTGGGTGCTGGGTCCCAGGCTCTGGGTCCTGAGATCTGGGCTCTGGGTGATGGATTCTGGACTCTGGGTGCTGGATTCTGGACTCTGGGTGATGGATTCTGGGATCTGTGCTCTGGGTGCTGGGTGTTGGATGCTGGGTCCCAGGCTCTGGCTCTGGGCTCTGGGCTCTGGTTGCTGGGCTCTGGATTCTGGGTGCTGGATCCCAGGCTCTGGGTCCCAGGCTCTGTCAGAACCCGTGCTCATTTCAGCTCCTCCTGCAGGACGGGAGCAGCTGAGCCCTGGAAATCAGTGCAGGGCCTTGGCAGAGCAGGGGAGGCCCTGCTGACGCGCTGTCCCTCCCTTGCAGACCCTGCCCAGGTGTCCCTGGGGGCTCTGTGCAGCGCCAGGAGGCTGCTGCTGCTGCTGGGGCTGGCGGGGCTGCTGGCAGCGATGGCAGCGGGGACGTGGCAGCTCGGTCAGTGCCCCAGCACAGCCCTGCTGCCCTCTGAGAGCCAGCTGGGGCTGCCAGCAGTGTGGGGTGGCAGCCCCCTGCTCAGCCCTGCCTGGGGTGGCTGTGCTCCTGGAGAGGCTCTGGCAGCAGGCAGGGCTGTGCCCAGCTCTGGGCATCGCTGGGTGCTGCCAGGCTGTGGGAGCCCACCCTCACCTCTCACCTGCTCTGTCTCCTGAAGTGAAGCACCTGAAGGAGCCCCAGCCCGAGCAGGGCTCCCCCCAGGAGCAGGAGCTGGAGGTGACCCCAGCGTGTGACAATGAGGAGGAGGAGGAGCCCGTGGTCCGGGGGGCTCCCAGCACAGGTTTGCACCTTTGGTTGGTGTCCCGTGTGGGGAGAGGGAAGCCAGCCAGGCAAGGGCACAAAATACTCTTTAAAAATCAGTTCCTGCTGCATTTTGCAGCTTTGTTTTTCTCTGAGCCCCCAGCACTGCAGCTTCACTGCACACAGGGATCCCACAGCAAGGGCAGCTCTTCCATGACTCCTTTGCCTGGGACCCCTCTGGCTGGGCTCATTTAGGGTTTCCAACTCCTCAGGTGGTTTAAGGTGGGGTTTTGGCTGTGCAGGGGGAGGGAGCTCACAGGTTGTCTGCAATGGAATGCCTTCAGTGTCTTTCAGGATCAGCACAGCCAATTCCTTGCTGGAAGCACGGCTGGAGGCACACCCTGGCTGGCTCCTGGTGTGCCACGGGCACTGGGAGCCCTCCCTGGGCACCCTGCTCTGCCAGCAGCTGGGCTACCTCAGGTGGGCACGGCACAGGCAGCTCCTGCTGCCCCCTTCCAGGGGGATGGCCTTGGCAAAACCAGCTGGGCTTTGGCAGGGCAGAGCCAGGCCACAGCATTCCCTGGGGAAACCAGGCCTGGGACCTGCAGGAGCAGCTCCAGGAGCTCCTTGCAGCCCAGCAGGTCATTCCCAGCTGTGGGACTGTGGCAGGGGCACAGCCCTGACCCCTTCCCGGGACGTTCCTGTCGCTCTGCAGCATGACCCAGCAGAAGGCAGTGAGCCTGAGGGATGTCCAGGTGAGTGCTGGGCAGCAGTTCCTGCAGGTGAGAGCCCGGCAGGAAGGCAGCCTGGAGGACATGTGGCAGGTCAGGTAAGGGCAGCTCTGGGGCAAGCACGGCTTGCTGGAGCCTCTCCTCAGGCTGAACCACGGAGATGTGAGGGTGCTGTGCAGCAAACACCCCTTGGGGAGCTGCTGCAGCCGCCCTGGGGCTCCCCAGGGCTTTGGCTGCTGTTTGTCCTGACCAGAGCCTGCCCACACAGGAGCAGCTGCCAGTCGGGGCGCATCGTGGCTCTGCAGTGCTCAGGTGAGCGATTCCCTCCCTCCTGAGCCCCAGGGTCTGTCCCTGGAGGCAGCAGCTCCTTCCCCCGCTGCCCCTGCTCCCCCCAGCAGGAGGGGCTGGGCTGGAGCCTCCCCCGTTCCTTGCAGAGTGTGGGCTGCAGGCGGGGGCTGTCAGGGTGGTGGGGGGCACAGACGTGTCCCCCGGGCGCTGGCCCTGGCAGGTCAGTGTGTGCCAGGGCTCCCAGCACCGCTGTGGGGGCTCCGTGCTGGCCCCCGAGTGGATCCTGACGGCAGCTCACTGCGTGCACAGGTACCCCTGCTGCCTGTGCCCATGCCAGGCTCCTTGTATCCATCCCCAGCCCCCTGTGCCCATCCCGGGCTCCTTGTGCCCATCCCCTGCTCCCTGTGCCCATCCCGGGCTCCCTGTGCCCATCCCGGGCTCCTTGTATCCATCCCCAGCTCCCTGTGTGCCCATCCTGAGCTCCTCGTGCCCATCCAGGGTCTCTGTTCCCACCCCGAGCTCCTCGTGCCCATCCCCGGCTCTCTGTGCCCATCACTGGGTTTCCTGTCCCCATCCCGGGCTCCCTGTGCCCATCCCCAGCTCCCTGTCCCCATCACCGTGTTCCCTGTGTGCCCTTCCCTGGGCTGCCCGTGCCCATCCCTGGCTCCCTGTGTGCCAGTCCTAGGCTCCCTGTGCCCATCCCCGGGTCCCTGTATGCCCATCCTGGCTCCCCATGCCCATCCCGAGCTCCCTGTGCCCATCCCCGGGCTCTCTGTCACCATCTCGAGCTCTCTGTGTGCCCATCCCCGGCTCCCGGTGCCAATCCCGAGCTCCTTGTCCCCATCCCGGTTCCCTGTGTGCCAATCCCAAGCTCCCCGTGCCCCTCCCGCTCCCGTGCCCCTGCTAGCCCGCAGCCCGGTGCCGGCAGCCCGCAGTGCCGGTGCCGCGGTTGCAGGCAGCTGCCAGCCCCGGCCTGGCTGGTGTTTGCGGGCATGGTCACGCACGGCTCGCTGCGGCCGGAGGCGGGCGTGCCAGTCCGGGCCATCATCGCCCACCCGCTCTACAACGACAGCAGCCTGGACTACGACATGGCCCTGATCAGGCTCCAGGCGCCGCTCAACTTCTCACGTAAGGAACGGGCTGTCCCGGTCCTGTCCCGGTCCTGTCCCCGTCCTGTCCCGGTCCTGTCCCCGTCCTGTCCCGGTCCTGTCCCCGTCCTGTCCTGTCCTTCCCCGTTGTTTTCCGTCCTACCCTCAGTGACAATTTGCCCAACCCCAGCCTCTTCTGAGCCTCGTGGCAGAAGAATCCCAGGTGGTTTGGGTTGGAAGGGGCTGAAGGCTCCTCCAGTTCCACCCCAGCGTGGCACGGACACCTCCCACTGTCCCGGGGGGCTCCAGGTCCCCGACCCTGCTGCGGGACAGCCCGGCTGGCACGGGCAGCGCAGCGTGCCCCGAGCTGGCAGTCCCGGGGGTGGCTGTGGGGCTGCAGTGCCACAGCCCCTGCACCAGGAGCCTTTCCCGTCCCCAGGCAGGCTGAGGGCTGTGCAGCCCGCCCCTGCTGTCCCCTGTGACTGTCGCTGTCGCCGCAGGTGCCATCCGAGCCGTGTGCCTGCCGCCCGCCCCGCGGGACCTGCTGCAGGGCACGCCGTGCTGGGTGTCGGGCTGGGGCCACACCGCCCCCGGCCAAGGTGAGCTCTGCCCTGCCCTGCCCGTTCCACTCTCCCTGCCCTCCCTGCTCCTGGGGGCCTGGCCAAACCTCACCCCGAGGCAGTGCCACCTTCCCCTTCTGCTCCCTGTGGTTCCCTCCTGGCTCCTCTGTGTCCCTGGCCAAACCTCACCCCGAAGCAGTGCCATCTTTCCCTGCCACCCCTTCTGCTCCCTGTGATTCCCTCCTGGCTCCTCTGTGTCCCTGTCCCCAGCACAGGTGGCCGGGACGCTGAAGGAGGCGCTGGTGCCCCTGATCGGCACCCGGAGGTGCAACAGCTCCTGCGTGTACAAGGGTGAGCTCACGGCCAGGATGCTGTGTGCAGGACACCTGAGGGGACACGTGGACGCCTGCCAGGTAGGGCTGGGACAGCTGGGGGTGCCTGCACCACCCTGGGGACACCCCTGGGTACCTGCAGCCACTCTGGGGACACCCCTGGGTACCTGCAGCCACTCTGGGGACAGCCCTGGAGAGGGACAGGGACAGCCAGGGGTACCTGGGGACACCCCTGGGGAGGCACAGGGACAGCTGGGGGTGCCTGCACCACCCTGGGGACACCCCTGGGTACCTGCAGCCACCCTGGGGACAGCCCTGGTGAGACAGAGCCTGCCCTGAGGTTTGGGTGCCCCCTGAGCAGCTCGAGGCCGGGCTGGACAGGGCCTGGAGCAGCCTGGGGTGGTGGCACCGGGCAGGGGGGGCACTGGGTGAGCCCCAGGGACCCCAGGCAGGCTGTGACTGTGCTGTGCTGGCTCTGCCCCCCAGGGGGACAGTGGGGGCCCGCTGGTGTGCTGGGATGGGGACACGTGGCGCCTGGTGGGCGTTGTGAGCTGGGGCCAGGGCTGTGCTGAGCCCAACCACCCCGGGGTCTACACCAACGTGGCTCAGCTGCTGCCCTGGATCCACCAGGTCACCCAGGTGAGCCCAGCTCTGTGCCTTGCTGGTTCCTCAGACAAATCCCAGCATCCTGAACTCCTTCCCTGCATGCACAAGCCTTTAGGACAACCTTTCTTATGGTACTGATTTTTTTTTGTTTGTTTCTTGTACTGATTTTCTTAGATGCACTAGGAGCCAGGACAGGACAGACTGCACACAGAACCCTTCCCACAAGTGAAGAACAGCCCAGGACTGGCTCCTCCTGCCTCACTGTATCCACACAGACTCCCAAAAGTGCTCAGTATAAATAGTTTATTAAAGAAAATAGCAAATTCCAATTCTGTGAACAATCAACAGGGGAGAAGTGTTTTTCAAAATAGACAATTTTGGATTACTGTGTGTGAAGGAACAGGGGATCCCGTGAGGTGTTCTGGGAACACTTGGAGGGGGGAAACATAAAAACACAAATGCTCTGGGGTGACAGGAAAGCCTCAGCCCCTGCAGAAATGCCTGGAAAGGGGAACAGGAGTGGGACAGAAGTGCCAATGGCAAGGAGACAACAGGAGACAACAGATTAAAACATTAAACTGGGACTGAAACTCTTCTAAGCACTGCAGGGCAGGAAGGACTTTGCTCCACGTGTGCAGCACCTTGCTCTGTGGGCTGAGCTCAGTGAATGATCTCAAATAAAAGAAATATACAATAATCCAAGTGTCAAACACAGCCTTTTGTGACTCCACGCTGTAAGAGCACCTTTCATTCCCTTTGCATACTGGTTTACATTTCTCTGATCACTGTTGAAGGACAGAACATACACCAGAAAGACACAGAGTTATGCAGTGCACACCCAACAAACAGAAAGGGAGGAGCTGAACTGCCTTCTGCACTTGGAAAAGTGACACTGAAAAGCTCTAAATCAGTTAGAAGCTATTTTCCATGAGAAAGAGAATTTTCCTACTTGTGAGAAACCCTGTGATCAATGGTGCACTCAGCACAGGACCTCTTTCCCCACATCCCCCTCTGAAGTGTCTCTGCCTTGAGGAAGCTGAGGTGGGAAACTTTGGCCCTTCCTGGAGGGACATCAAAAGCTCTCCCAGCCTGTGGGTTCCACGTGTGCTTTGGGGACAGAAGAGGTCACAGAGGGGCTGCAGGTCCAGGTGTAGAAGTGCATAGAAGAGTCCCAGCTGAGCACTGGAAAGGCCCAGCCTGAGATGAGGTTACAGAAACACCGAGCCAGGAAATGCTCCTTCCCCCAGGCAAGCTCCAGGAAGCACTTACCCAATCCCAACACTTCCCAGACCAGTGGAAATAAGAAAAGTGAAATCAAAAAAAGTATTTGGAAGTGTCAGTTTGCTCTTGCTGTGTCACAAGATGCAGGTGTGAACTGGATCACTTGATCTTGGCCAGTGCTGCTGCTCTCCTCTCTGTGTTCTGGAACAGGGCTCGGATCAGGCTCTTCACCTCAGCTGCTGAAAATTCCTCTGCCAGAGGCCCCTTGCCATCTGCCCACCTGGATGGGAGACAGGGAGAGCTTTATGTCACCAACCTGCCCAGAAATGGCACCTCCAACAACCCTCCAAGGACCTGTGCCAGCAGCTGATCCTGACCCTTTCCTCTGGAAAAGGAAACAGAAAGGAAAAGGAGAGGAAAAGGGAAAAAAAGGAAAAGTTTCTGCTCTTCCTGTGAACTGCAGCTCCCTGGCACAGGTCTGGAGAAGCAGCTGGAAAGGAAAACACCTACTGATCCACGATTTCTTGGAGGTTGGCCTGCAGGATGATCATCAGCTCCTTGAATGTCATCCACTTCTGCACATAGACTGGAACCTCCTCTTGGTACTTCTTGTTTTTGTCTTCTTCAAGCAGAGGGGTGAAAACTTGGGGTCCCTCCTCCACCATGATCCTGCAGAGTGAGTACAGCCTGTCTGCATCCTGTGCAGAGATATCCTGGAATGGGGAGGACAAGAACAGAGCTCAAGTGAGGTTTGTTTCTGGAGTGCCAAGTGAAATGAAAAATTGGGACTGTGAACATTTCCTGTGGACACATGATTATAATTTGTGTGTGGATGAACTGCTCCCCTGAAATGTGATTTTGGGGAGAGTTTCTGGAGGTGACAAACACTGTCCCCAGCACCCCCCATGGCTGTTACCTCCAGGGCAGCAATCCTGGTGACAATCTCTGCCAGGGCTGTGTTCAGTAAGGCCCCCATGGCCTTGCAGTACACGTTCACAGGGAGCACATCCTGCCACACCATGCCCAGCCTCCTCAGCTGGTGCAAAACCTGCAAGGAACAGCACAGTGTGACACCAGACAGAACCCTGGGAAAGGCACCAGGGCATCAGGAGAGTACAAACGGGGAGAAACAATGGAGCAATCCTGCTCAAGACACAGCCCAGGTCAAAAAACCCAAACCAGCACATCAGAAAATAGGTTTTTTAGCAGCTGCACAGCTGCCAGGGCTGAGATTCCACACTGCAGCTCCCCAGGATCCCTGCAGGCACTGGATGCTCTTTCTCTGCCCTCCTCACCTGCTTTATGGCTTTATTTGCTGCACAGTAATTCTCCTCATCATCCATGTTGGAAAAATTCCTGGCACTCGAGAGCCTCTCCAGGATTTCTCCCTTCTGCACTCGCATCTGGGCCAGAAAACACTCCATCCCTTTAGGAGCAAAGCAAGCAGAGAGAAGCAATTAAACAATTACTAAATCTGCTCTGCCTATTTATGACTGTAAGCGCTGAATAATGAACTTGCTATAATGTTTTATTTTTAATCAAATTTCCAGTCTCCAAACAGTCTCCTAGAGCCAGTTTAACCAGTGAGCTCTAGTGCAGCTTGCATTGCTGCAACACTGCTGGAAAAAAGCAGAGCAGCAGAATGAACTGTGGATGACTCCTGTTAGCTCACACAATTTTATTAATTTATTTCTGTGGAATAACTAATGAAAATATCAAAGGACTGAGCAGCAGATCCCAGAACACATCTTGCTGGATACTGAGCTGTTCTTGGGACTAAGTTCACAAGGAACACAGGTTTCAAAGAGCCAAAACTTCCTAACTCAGAAAATGTCTCTGCCAAACAACAACTTGTCCGAACAATACAAATCTGAGCGAGCAGCCCCACCTCCACTAAACCACTCAGCAAGTGGCAGGGTGAACTCCCAGGTGATCCAGAAGCAGAGGGGAAGGGGGGAGGGAAGTTACCCAGCCTCCTGAAGCCAGGCACCAGGTCCACGAAGGTGGCGGCGCCGTTGCTGAGCGCGCTGGTGCCGCCGTAGCGGAACTGGTGGCCCAGCGTCAGCAGGTGGTGGGCCATGTACATGCAGTTGTTGTGGTGGATGGCAGCCAGCTGCGGCAGCTTCTGCAGGTTCTCCCTGGCCCAGCAAGGAGGGAAAAGGAGAAATGGGTTTGTTTAGAGCTGGTTCTGTTATAGAAAGGCTCGTGGCTATCCTAGAGGAACGCGCGGTCTTGTCAGCAGGTGGTGCTGGCAAGGCCTGACTGACATCAGAGTAAAAACATTTAACCTCTCACAAAGCCACAGGAACTGGCAGGAAAAGGGTCTGAAGGGCACTGAGACATGCATGTGAACCCTGTGTTATCCCACACTGTTTCCAGCCATGGCCTTTCACACAGGAATATACTATGTTAGAGCAAAGTCACAGTGAGGAAAAGGGAGGGAAGGTCTCTGACAGGATTGTGAACTTTCCATCATCATTGCTGCTTCTTCACAGGAGAAACATCCTGAAAAATCTGTGCATCAGACCTGAGGTCAAAGTTACGTGGCTGGAAACAAATACAGCTGTGTGAGATTGATCATAGATTGACAACACAGAAACTCTCAAGCACCTGCTTTGCACAGGTAAGGTTTAATTAGAGATTGGGCAGTTGATTTTTGCAGATGGAGCTGTAGTGGACAAGTGGGACTGTTCCAACAGCAGCACTCCCCCTCAGAGCACGAAATGTGGACACACTCACCTGTGGTATGTGGGCACTACCTCATAGAAGAGCTGGAAGATGTTCCTGACACAGTCAAAGAGCTGCACACAGCTATGAGAGAAAGAGAGCTCCTGTCAGCCTGGCATTAATGTCCTGTTCACAGCTGCCCCTCAGCCTGCCCAAACAGGGCTCCTGTCAGCCTGGCACCCATGCCCCATTCACAGCTGCCCCTCAACAAGGTTTTATGAGCAGTGAAGCACTGGCACAAAGAGGGGATTGTCAGGATCAATGACAGCACTGTCAACACTCTGGAAAGCTCTCAAAGGCCGTGGTGACCTTGAGGGTCAGTGTGGAAGGGAGATCCATGACAGCCCAGAACAAAGGGGACACTGTCCCTGTCCCTCCAGGTGTGCAGGAACACTCAGCCCCCTCTCTGCCCCTCGAGGGCAGCTGTTACCTGGGCAACTCTGCTGCCTCAGGGCTGTGGTTAAAGTAAAGTTTATGTGGATCCTGTTTGTTTTTCCCTGCCAGCTGCAGGCTGGAGTTCTTTGTTTTCACCAGCACAAAGAACTCTGTTCACACTGAGGCCAGCACTTGGTTTTGAGAAAAAGAGACGAGTTTGATTTTTCTAAACAACTGATTTTTCTAAAAACCTGAAGGAACAGCCTGCAGCAGTATCAGTCTCCTGCCCAAACCCAGGCATACATCCTCCAGCCAAAACAAGAGCAATGACTCAGTCTAATTTTTAAAGTTCTTTAAATCTATTACCAGATGCTTGGTGCTGCTAGAGGCTGACACAGAGGCTACTAAACAAATAAATAAATCCTGTTTTGATCAATAATGCTAACAGAGGAATGCCCAAGCAGGCCTACCAGAGGTCTGTGCTGGTCGTGGCCTCCAGCAGGGTGTGGTAAGCCAGCCCCACGAGCTGCTGCACGGAGCAGCTGATGCGGCACGTGGGCAGGCTCAGGGTGAGGGGGCTCAGCCTGCTCTCACTGCCCACGGGCACCGTGCCACCGTGCAGCAGCCTGGAGCCTCTGTGCACCTTCACGTGGTCTCCTGAGCAAGGATCAGGGAGCTCGGGGAGGGCAACGCTGGAATCAGGTGTGATCTAAGGGAAAGAGGGAGGGTAAGAGAATTTGGAGCTCTGAAAGGAGAATCTGCAAGATTAAAAAGCACTCAATGGCAGAGATTTAAGACTCAAGATAAACACAACACTGCAGCAGTGTTAAAAAATATTTAGAGATTGTTTTCCAGATGGA